GGGGGGGGGGGTGAGGAAGAAGAGGAAGTGGCCGTTATAGAAATTTCAAAAATGGAGAGGGCGGTATTAATAATTGTATATTTGAAGTTTGAATTTGGAGATTCAAGTGGCGACAGGAAAGATAGATATAACGGGCTAACGGCTACGGCAAATTAATTTTGAGGTGTAAAAAGTAACTTTTTTACTGGCCATTACTTGGCAAAAATTAAGCTGAAATTGGACTTACTATACCCGAAAAAAGAAAAAGAAAAATTGTTACTCCTTCTCTTTAAAAAATAATGACTTCTATCTATATAGAATAGGAGAAGCGAAAGCACTACATTAAGACAAGTGTCTTAACCACAAAAAGCTAAGTGGCATTATTAAGAATAAATAAACTACTTTTTTAACTAATTTTTTTTGAATTTTAAATTTTGAATTAATTGTTTACACTACTTGAATTAATAAATATAGATATCTTATAATATCAATAAAAATAAAAATACAAAAATATATTCTACTCATTCAAATTGGAGTTTTAAAATTATCTTACAATAAATAATTCCAAAATTACACATTTTAGTAATTATTAAAAATAATAGTATGTTTTTTATAAAAATAATAAAAAGGCATATCTCTTTATACTTTTGATGAATTCAAAATTATAATTTAGTAAAAAAATTATATTGCTTAAATTTTCAGTAAATATAAAATGAGAAAACCAATCAAATATTAGAAATGAATGTACGAAAAGAGGTGGATAAAGATAATTTTATAATATTTATATTTTGAATTAATTAATAAATAAAATATAATTAAATAATACTCAAGAAAATTATTGATAAATTTAGACAATTGAAGAATTTTAAACAGTATAACATAAGAATAAAATATATATTTCTAGAATAAGAAAATATGAACGTATGTTCTACTAGAAGAGAAGTAGTATCAAAATATTAAGCCAATTGACAAATTAATAAAAAATCACATTAGTAAATATATAGTACTAAGTACTTGCTAATTTAATAAAAAATAAACAAGGAATAAATAATTTATTTGATTACTGTAGTGCTTTGTATCCTTTGATTTCGTATAAATTTTATTATATTTATGTACACTACATTAAATAATAAAATAGTAACTAATATTTATTAAAATAATATGATATATTAGATAATAATTTTATAAGATTAATATTCCGTTAAACTATCGGCGCATCGCGTGGGTTCTAACACTAGTGAAATAGTATAAAACAAGGCAAAATACATAAGTTGACACCTGGACTCTACACCAAATCCCTATTACACACTTTCGGAGGACATATATCATATTTTATTACACACGCAACCTTTCAAATTTGTGCCTAATACACACTACTTTTGCCAGATGGCACGCGCGTGTTTAACAAAAAATGAGCGCGTCAAACCAATGCATTATCTGTCCAAATCCTTATATAAGCACACGTGTCTAAATCTTATTTGTCCCCTTATTTTTGTTAATTTAATAATTAAATGAAAAGAAAAAGATATCTAGGCCCTTCTTCCCCATTTGGAGCCCATGTCGTCCTCGGAATCCTGCGACAACCTCAGCCTCCTCATCTCCTCCCTCTGCATCTCCTTTAAGAAGATGTCAACCATAACTCGTAATGCCGGAACCGACCTCAAGCAACGAGCCGAGAATTCCATTGCCAGGTCGTTAGTTCCATTGTCAATTCATGGTCGACGAGCTCAGATCTTCACCCCGTGGGTGGAGCTATCAAATCTTTCCGGCAAGCTGGTGTTCTTTGTTCAAATCTGGTCTCGTTTGGTTAAAAAAGGCAAATGACGGCGACCTCCATTTTTCGGCCACTGTTACAGTGGCAAACCCATCGGTAACAATGGTAATTCCACATCAAACAAAACAAACAAAACCTAAAAACTAATAAATGGTAAAAATTTTATAGAGTAAGAAGAAATAGTATAGTAAATAAGAACAAAGATGATGAAGAAAGTGGGTCTTTAAAGAAAGAAGAACTTAAGTATGGTGGCTTTCTTCTGAGGGAGAAAGAGACGAGGAAAGAGAAATTGGTTCAAGTGTTTAATCTTTTTAAAAAAAATTATTAACACGTGTCATGACGTTATTGGTGCGTGACACTACGCTTATTCTCAAAAATTGGTCAAGAAAAAAGTGTGTGTACTAGGCACAATTTTGAAAGATTGCATGTGTAATCTCAAAAAGTGTGTAGCAGGGATTTGGGGTATAGTTTAGGTGCTAACTTATGTATTTTGCCTATAAAACAACAAAAAATAACATATCCAGTATATTCCCATAGTGTGAAATATGAGAAAAATAATATGTATGCAGACCTTACCGCTTACCATGTAGAAGTAGAGAGCTTGTTTCCATTAGACTCTCGGCTCAAAAAAAAGCAATTCATAGTAGGTTTGAAAAAGGAAAAAAGTACTACCTCTGTTTTAAATTAGATGAGGTACTTTCCTTTTTAGTTTGTTCCAAAATAAATGACACACTTACAACAACAACAACAACAACCCAATAAAATCCCACAAAGTAGGGTCTGGGGAGGGTAGTGTGTACGCAGACCTTACTCCTACCCCGATGGGGCAGAGAGTCTGTTTCCAATAGACCCTTGGCTCAGGAAGACGAAAATAAAACAACAAGAGACAATTCATCAGTAACGTCAGCATAAACCATAAAAATAGTAATAGGAGCACAAAAACCATAAAATAGATGACGTACAATAACAATAACCAATAATTAAGGCTCGGTGCATGATAAACAGAAAGGATAGTATGGACTCAACATTAATCACTAACTGTCTAAGATCAACCCTATCAAACCCGCCTCACCCCCAGTATGAAGTAGAAAAAGATCAACTACCCCCTATCATACAACCCTAATGCTTGACCTCCAGACCTTCCTATCAAGGGCCATGTCCTCGAAAATCTACAGTCGTGCCATGTCCTGCCTAATCACCTCTCCCCAATACTTCTTAGGTCTACCTCTACCTCTTCTCGTACCTACCAAAGCCAACTGCTCACACCTCCTCACCGGAGCATCAAGGCTTCTCCTCCGCACGTGTCTGAACCATCTTAGCCTCGCTTCCCGCATCTTGTCATCCACAGGGCCACGCCCACCTTCTCCCAAATATCCTCATTCCTAATCTTATCCGTCCTAGTGTGCCCGCACAACCACCTCAACATCCTTATCTCTGCTACCTTCATCTTCTGGATATGAGAATTCTTGACCGGCCAACACTCTCCCCAGTACAACATGGCCGGTCTAACCACAGCTCTATAAAACTTACCTTTGAGTATCGGTGGCACTTTTTTTGTCACACAAGACTCCAGATGCTAGCCTCCATTTCATCCAGCCTGCCCTAATACGGTGAGTGACGTCCTCGTCGATCTCTCAGTCCCCTTGGATACCCGATCCAAGGTACTTGAAACTACCTCTCTTGGGGATGACCTGTGATCCAAGCCTCACGTCCCTGCCTACTTCCCTTGACTCAGCGCTGAACTTACACTCCAGGTACTTTGTCTTAGTCATGCTCAACTTGAAACCCTTAGACTCCATGGCCTGCATCCAACCTCTCGTAAACACCGTCTCGCGTCTCATCAATTAGAACTATAATGAATAACATACACCACGGCATTGGCACATCCCCTTGAATATGGTTTTTCAGTGCATCTATCACTAATGCAAATAAGAATGGGCTAAGCGCAGAGCCTTGGTGTAACCCCATAACAACTGGGAAATGCTCCGAGTCGCCTCCCACAGTCCTAACCTTAGAAATGACACATTTCTAACTTGGAAATAATTCAACTTTAAACTCTTCGTTTTACTCATTTGACCCTTAATGAGAAGCTCTTAATCATACAAATGTCATGGCCCTACAAAGCTTTTACCCCTTAAGCTTTTAAGACCACAAGTTTCAAAAGTCTTTTTTTTTTTTTATTAAACTAGTGCCGAGTCAAACTACCTTATCTAAATTGAAACGGGGGAGTAGTTAAGAAGACATGTTAAAAATAATAAAGTCAAGAACAGAAACAACATCAAAATAAAAAAGCAATAAGAAAACTGACACAAGGGAAACAACATGTAGTAATATAATAGAGATAGAAAGCTAAGATAACACGAGAATAATAATAATAATAATAATAATAATAATAATAATAATAATAATAATAATAATAATAATGATAAGGAAAACACGAAACAGATACGGTATTTCAAACTTGATTGCCTACTAACATTCTACCATAATCCTTGACCTACATATCCTTCTATTTAGAGTCATATCCTCGATAAGTTGAAAAAGTGTCATGTCCTCGATAAGTTAAAGAAAAAGCATAAAAGTGTGCACAAATTTGCTCGAACACATCGTCAGAGAAAAAAGATTGCATGAAAGTCAAAATTTCAATGAGAATTTGATAAGAAAATTTTGATTATTATGAAGTAAAACTTACCAAGTCAAAAAAAGTGTTAAATCATATTAGTAATATTTTATACCCGCTTCAGTCCACAATAAATGACCAATTTGTCTTTTTATTTTGGTCCAAAATAAGTCTCCATTTATATAATTAAGAAAAAATTTAATTTATTTTTCCAAAATTGCTCTTGTGTACATATCCCTAAAAAGTCTTTTACTCCTCACATTTGAGAAGAGAAGTAAGGGGGCTACTATAACTATGTTGCAATATTTAATTAAGGGTAGTTTAGTCATATTAATTATTTTTGTTTAGAATTTAGTATTTCCTTAATGAGAGTGCTCAAGACAAATTGGTCACTTATTATGGGCTGGAAGGACTAATTAGGTTTATCTAAGAAATGTTTGGGAATGCCGGTTAAAGGTAAAATATTTGACTCATCAAGTAGTAATAATCTCAGATAAAATGGAAATATAGAGCTAAAATAAGGTATAGCTATCTTAATTTGTACGTTATTTGTTAAATCAACAGCTTATTTCACCAATTTATGTTTCTA